GGGGCCCCCGGGGGGGCCCCTCGTGGGGGCCCCCCTTGTGCGGCTTACGGAAGGTAAGTGAACCCCTGGGTACCGAGTGCGCCGTGGCACCAGAAAACTCCGAGTGGAGAATTATGTTGTCTGTTTTGCAAAGCATCTAAACAGAAGTTGTTGTGTTTTGCATTTCGGATCTCTGTGGCGAGCTCGCGGGCCTCTTCGAGAGCCCGGAGTTCTTTAAATCCTTTTTTTAATTGGCGCGGGGAGTACAAGGAAGACGGGAAGGGCGGCCAACGCCATTGCTGCTGCTGCTGCTGCTGCTGCTGCTGGGGGCCCCCCACTGCGCACGGCCGCCAGGCCAGCTCGTGCTTTCCCTGTGGTCAAAACGCAATTAGTTGCTTTTAATTCTTTAAATTTATTTATTTTTACATTTATTTTCATTAAATACTCTTCAAATTGATCCAAATGGACCTCCATGCATGCACCCAATCCCCGGATCTTGTCTTTGCGTGAATACTTGCACAAGTGGATGCACACGTTCAGATCTCGTGCAAATACCTTTTTGTGTCTGCGCACCCTTAAACCCAATTAAATGTTTATTTAATTCATTTTCTTTTACCAAATTTAATTATATTTTAATACAAACAACATCTGCACGAAAATTCCAACTTGTGGCGCCAGCGAAAAAAAAATATGCGTGCACGGAGCCTAGCCGTGTGCCCGTGCAGAACGGCAGCAGCAGCAGCAGCAGCAGCAGTTGCAGCAGCAGCAGCAAGAGCAGCGTGAAGCAACAAAAATGCCAGAGCACTGGCAGCAGCAGCGGCAGCAGCAGCAGCAAGAGCTGCGCGAAACAATAAAAATGTCAGAGCACTGGCAGCAGCCGCGACGTAAATGAAATCAGTAACGGCAGCAGCAACCGCAACCGCAGCCAAAAGAAGAACAGCAGCAGCAGCAGCAGCAACAGCCGCAGCAGCAGCAGAAGCAGCAGCAACAGCAGCAGCAGGAGCAAAATCGCACAGCGCTCACATCAGGTTGGGTCTGTTCGATGGTGAGGCAGTGGTTTTTGAATTCTCCCTCTTGAGTCCATTTAATGGTTTTATTTTCGGAGTCGAATTCCATGAAACTAACTTTTTCGGGTTTTGTGCATTTCTCTAAAACCCCAGGAGGAGTCAGGCAAAGTCTGCTGCGAGACACTTTGCCAATGCCCATGAGCCGCAGGTGGTGGTTTTCGCTGATGAAGGCATTAAAAGAGATAAAACAGCAACAAAAAAGAAAAATAAATATCATTTTATTCATTTCATTGAAGAGAATGAAGCAGCAGCAGCAAAAGCATTCAAAAAGCAGCTTGGGCATGCAACTTCCAGCTGCCTTTGAAAGGAAATGCTGCCACTGCTTTTGCTTTGACTTCTTTGTTTCTAAATAGGTATTCTGTCGAATGCAGCAGCACTTCTGTGACATGTATTGCAAATATTGTTTTATTTTTGTTCTTGAAATGGTATTTTTCCAGCATGTAGCATTAGTGGTCTTCTGCTTATGCAGCAATTCATGTTGTGTGGAATGCAGTGCAGGGCATAACAGCAATTCAAGAATTGTGCGAACAGTTATTTATGTTCTAATTGGAAATATACTTTTGCAAGAACAAAAATACAGCATTTTGAGTAGAAGGCACGCCCACACAAATGCGGATGATATCCGTTGAAACGAAAAAAAAACGGAGCAAAGACAGTAAACTTTATCTAAATGCAGCACAAACTAACAAAGCCGTGAAAGACAGCCAATTAAGTCTCATCACATTTGAAATAAAAGCAGAAGTGTCACATTTTGGAGCAAGTCCAGAAGAAACTTTTCCTGTTTTTTAAACCAAGGGGCAGCAACAATATCTATACCCTCGATGAAACGATATCAAGCGAGATTTATCTGAATTACGAAAAATTAAGCATTAAATGTTTATTAAAAATTACTTTTGACATTTTATCTTGAACTTACTTTACCAGCAGGAAGCCCTGGTTGCCCAGTTGGCCGTGGCAGTTGTAAAGCCCAACATTTTTGCCCACGTCCGTTTCCCCCATAGAATCCAGGCAAAGATGAGGATATTTTTCGCTTCTTATGTCCCCCAAGCCCGCTAGTGCAGTGCCTAGGTCTTGGAACTCATGTTTAGTGTCCACATTTTTCAGAAACCACTTCATGTCCTTGCAGTTCAGGCGTTTCTTCAGCTCCAGCATCTGCAAAGGTGAAACAGGCCGCATTGACCGGCTCTTGTGCATAAACTCAACATTTCTTCTCCTTTTATCCCAATTAAGGGGGAATGTGAACCTGTTGCTGCGCTTTCTGCATGTTTGACAACGCCTTGGCCTTCTTTCGAGCTCCCAAAGCACGGAAGCAGAAGAACAAGAAGCAAGAAGTTCAAAAAAGCCCGCTTTCCTCAAGATGTGTCTCACCTTTGTCATGTCCGGCAAGTCAGGCTCTGGATGCGCTAAGTGAAATGAATTAAAAGCAGCAGCAAGTGGGAAGTAGTCATCCATCCACAGCTGAGCTGTGCGCACGCGGTTCTTCCACACGCTGCCGGGGGGCAGTGAGTAGCCAGTGCCTCCCTATGTGAAGCAGAAACAAAAACATTTTCCAATTAAAATCCTAATTGGTGTAATCACAGGCACTCTTTTGAGACCTGAAGTCCTTAGACACACTTAAACGAGATATGCTGCTACTCTAGAAACTAAAGTAGTTCTGAGGTTGCTGCAGCGACACAACAACCACAGACTGCAGCAGCTCAGTGAAACGAATCCTGGGAGCAGCAGTAGCAGCAGCAGCAGCGTTTCACGGCCCAGCAGCAGCAGCTGTCAGCGTGGCAGGAGCAGCGGCTGGCAAGTGTGTCAGCAGCAGGAGCTGCACTTGTGGCTGCACAAGCAACAGCCACAATATGAGCAATAAATGCAGCAACGCTACTCACCGATCTGAATATATGGTAAACAGCAGCACAAGGAGCACATTCAAGTCTGGCGCCGCACATCCAAATGCGGAAACTCAGTTCCACGTTCTCAGCTCCCCACATACTGAACCCTTCATCGTATCTGCGAGTAAAAAAGACAAAAGTTCACGAAAGTGTGCAGCAGCACCAGCCGCAAAGGGCAGCAGCAGCTGCAGCCACCTGCAGCGACGAGGCAGCTGTCTCGATAGTCCAGAAATAACGACACAGCAGCAACAAAAGACGCAGCAGCAGCAGCGGTACTTGCAGGGAAAACAGCAGCAGCAAAAAACGGGATTTAAGCTCGGTTTGAGAATAGCAGACCATCACTGGCGTAGAAAATCAACCAAAAAGAATTTCGAAGACAGCCGAAGCAACTAATGCAACGAAATGCGAAATACAAATTAGAAAGACGAAACAAAGTAAAAGAGCGCAGTTTAAAACTTGAAAAGAGAAAAAGAAACAATTGAGCAGCCAAAGATGAACTAATTTGCAACTCACCCCCCAATTTCATAAAATGTGTCTTTTCTGAATGCCACGAGACCCCCCCCATGCATGGGCGAGGGAATGGCATCTGTAGTTCCCCAAAACCCCGACGCCTGGGACTTCTCTTGCACGTTCCAGTCGAAAGAAACGGTGCAGCTGCAGCAGCAACAGCAGCAGCAGCAGCAGCAGCAGCTGCTGCTGCAGAGGAGAGGGTATAGGCACGGGAGGAAGGAAAAGCTAATGGATTTGGCAAGAGTAGAAGAATTCGAAAAAGAAGAAATGAGAAGACGAGCAACTTGAAGAGAAGTGGAGCAGCTGCAGCGTGGAAAGCGGCAGTTTTCGAAGAGTTTGGAGTTTCTGAATTTGCAACTTGGGAACTACTTCGCAGCTTTTTAAACGTATTTAACTAAGTCCCGAGGCCCCACCCAATGCCGGAGTCCTTGGTGTGGGAGAAGTCCGTGGAAACAATCGACAGGGTTTGGGGAAACACGAAAGACTTGGGCGACTCTCTTATGCGCGCCAGCTGCGGCTCCAGCCAGCCCTCATTCACTTCAATGTGGCTGTCAAGAATGACAACTACGGGGGCCTTCGAGGCCCTGACGCCCCGCATGCGCGCGGGCACGATCCCGCTGCGCGACTCCAGGCGAATCTGCAGCGAAAGCGGCGCCAGCAGCAACTCTGCTGCTGCTAAGTCTATCCCTCCCGCTGCACTGCGCTTCCTGCTGCTGCTGCTGCTGCTGCTTGGGCTGCAACGCTCGCTCGACCAGCAGCAGCGGCGGAGCGTCCGGCCTCTCTGCCTGGCACTCCTGAGGCAGAGCCCAAGCCTCTTCACCGCAGCATCTGCTGCAGTGGCCAGCAGCAGCAGCAGCAGCTGCAGCAGCGGCAGCAGCAGCAGCAGCAGCAGCAGCAGCAGCCTCACGAGTTTAGTCTTGGGGAGGTAAGGCAAGTACTCGTCGAGCTCGCCGCCCGGCAGCAGCGCCGTGCTGTTAGAGAAATCGTCGACGAGAATGAGTTCTCTGATGAGAGGAGGAGGAGTGAAGTTCAAAATGGAGTGTATGGACCGCAGGAGTGTTGACATGGGCTCGTTGTGGTAGGTAATTATTATTGAAGCGTCTAGACTGTCGCTCAAGTCTTGCAAGTCGTATTCAATTTTCAAACAAGAGGGATCCCTGGGCGAAATTACAAACAACAGCTGCAGCGGGTGCACTGTGGAGTTTCAGGACACTTTCAGAAATCAGTGAAACGGAGGCCAAATGAAGGAAACCGAGCAACTTTTTGCAACAAAAGTAACAGAAACAAAATTCACTTAATTGCAATGATTGTAAAGAAGAAAAGATAAAAATAATCGAAAAAGTCCAAAGAAACGACTGCGAAAACTGCTTGCCTGCTGTCAGGAGGCTTCCTGTCAAGAGGCAAAGCGTCTGAAAGCTTCAAATAAAAGCCGCCCCCACTTTTAAGTTCTTCAGTTTTGTTCACCTGAGCAGCCAAGAAAATGCAACAAACCGAACTTTAAACCAAAGCCCTAAGCCCTAAACCCTAAACCCTAAACCCTAAACCCCGAAACTTGAAGGCACCATGCCATAATTCATTTGCGGGCTTTCCTGCCTCTACAGGGGTCCCCAGAAAGCACTAAAACCCCAAACTTTGAATTTTAAAATATAAATTATATTTATGTCGAAGTTAAAACCCAAATTAACAAAAATTCTCGAATCGGATTTGCTGCAGCTTTCGGAGCCCCTTCTTACAGACGGAGAGTCTATGGGCTCGGGCATTTCCGCAGGCACCCAGAGGGGCCCCCTGACGCTGTCCACGCCCAGCTTTCCGTGCAAGCTGCTGCTGCTGCTGCTGCTGCTGCTGCCGGGAAAGACAGCCATAGAGTTCAGCCAGCCGCGGCTGCGGGGCCGCAGCGACTGCAGGTAAGCCTCGTTGCCCACGTAGGGCTGGGCTTTTGCTGCAGCGCCGTACTCCTCCAGCAGGCGCTGCAGCTCGGGGTCCACTGGACCAGACACTGCGGGAGGAAGCAAAAGGAGTTGATAATGGCGGATTTAATTTGCTTTTTTTTGCTCGCTGCTGCTGGGGGGAAACAACAGCGAGCTTCCCACGTAAAAAGAAGCTTTTCAAATGCTCTAATTCCTAAGTCTTGAGCCTTTGGCTGAGGCACACTGCAGCTACTGCTGCTGCCGCTGCTACTTCTGCTGCACTGACTCACCGGGCAAGGAAGTCTGGGGGGCCTGGAAGCTCTTCAGAATTGGCGTGGAGACAAGGTAGGCGTGGGCATTGCGGGTGACGTGCATAAATAAGAACACTTGAACAGTGACACAGAGCAGCAGCAGCAAAAACACTGCGAGGCAGCGCCAGGGGAAGTTGCAAGCCCTGGGCTGGTTCAAAAGCCTCAAAAAGGGCCACCGCCACCACCGAAAGCCCCTGCGGGGGGCCCTTGAGCTGTTTGAGGGAAGTCCAGTGGACTCAGTTTGATGGGGCCCCCCACCTGCAGACTGCTGCGGCTGGCTTGAGCGCGTCCGCCGGCCACCCAGAGAGGAGGGGACCCCATTTCTACTCTTAGAGTGCAACATGGGAAGAAAACCCTTGTGGCGAGCTCCATTTAGCATCATGGCGGCTCTAGGCAGGGTCTGCTGCGGCGCTGACGCACGCAGGTGACCAGTGGTCACTCAGGCACAAGGCGAAGTCGTAGCTTGAGACAGCTGCAACCAGCTTCTCATGACCTGCCCAAGTTTCGATGTATTTACTCTCAAAGTACAATTAACACATTAGGAGGCGTGTTGCAACTTGTCCACCCTCAGTGCAGCTGCACAGAGGTGTCAGGACTGCTGATCAACGCCACCTCAAGGCAAAATGGTAGTTGCAGATGCCACAGTGCTCACGCTCCAGCAGAAAAGACGTAGAAATGCCAAAACAAATGACATAAAAGCCTCAGATTTCGCTGAAACTGCGAAATTGCCGGCGTTTTTCGCGCATACGGCGCAGCTGCCTCGGTTCAGATCTGGCGGCGGTCGCCTTGCCACGCAGCCCCACAGAATGGCCAGTTCTTTCGGCGAAAGCAGTTTTCCTAGCAAATTAATTAAAATGAATACATTAAATTCTTTGCTTTGGGAGGATTTAAAGGCCTTTTTTCGCCCAGACGCCGCCGGAACCGCCAACGCCTATGCGCCTTAGTGTGTTGGTGTAGCAGCCTGCTGACCTCTACCTTAATGGCTGACTATATATCTTCACTTTTCATTTATTTCCACCTTCTTGTTCTTTTCAATATCACTCATTAAGGTGTTTATTTCAGTTTCGGTAATGTGCGCGTCCGTCGCTGTGCTTGCAGGTCACTCATAACAGCATTGTGTTACATTAGTAAACAATACGTTAAGATTAGTCATTGCTTTTTGTGAATGCACAAATGCATGAATCTACAGACATATATATACAATATACAATATATTCATATATTATATGGATATGCATGACTGCAAGCTTGTAAAACGCATGATAACATTGTTCTTTGCCCGCGTGAAATGTCAACAAATATAAAAGAACACATTCTAAACAACTTCTGAAGCCCCACCTCCCTAAATTTATCCCAAAAGTATGCAAGGATATGCACACTCAGGTTGTTCGCAACATTTGCATGCATGCAGAGATGCTGCTAAGTAATAAATGGGCTGCGCCCTTTCCTGCTAACTAAGAAGGAATGGGCTGCAGCGTTGTCCGTAAAAACACGAAAAAATAAAAAATTGAATTTGGTGAAAAAAATAATATGAACTTTTGCATGAATGTGATCAACGCAGCATGGTCGGTTGCTGCATGCGTTTAAGACTTATATTTTCAGTAAAAGAGAATAAATGAAAAAGGCAAAAGGCTCAATAAAATCGTCTTTTGCATTTCATGGTCGTTGCAGGATGACTGAAAACTGCATGCATTTGAACTGCTTCTTTTTGGTTCATATTTTCCCCACTTTTTGGTGTTCAGGCGAATTCAAGAGAACTGAGATGGACATTCCTTAGCATTGAGTCTCGTTTACACATTCCCTCCGCAGCTGCTGCTGTGACAGCAGCAGCAGCAGATGCTAAGAGCTTCTAATGCAGCTGCAGCGGCTGCAAAAGCTGCAGCTGCAGCAGCTGCAGCGGCTGCAAAAGCTGCAGCTGCAGTAGCTGCAGCAGCTGCAGCAGCTGCGTGGTATTTGCTGCTGCTGCTTTTCGATGCTGCAGCAAATGCTGGTATCGCCATACAGACAATATGGAGCTTTTCAATTGGTTTTTGGCTTAGTGGCCAGGCATTCAAGTGCAACTTCTACACTTATGATCAGTAAGCATTAAAACCCGTAAATGAGTTTTAGTTCTTGCGGGTATATATGATCCAGAATTGACTCAGCAACTTATTTTGAATGTTACACAGTCATATTTCCAATCAAGGCTGAATCTCTTCTTCCAACTTCCGAGACGCATTCAAAAGTCTTTTGTGCTGCTGCAGCGCATCTGCAGGCCACTGTGTTATGTTGTCGTGGCCTATTACTTATTTTTAGCCTTAACAGTGAACACGAATGCTTCTACTTTGGCACTTTATCGTTGGCAAATGATTGGAGCTAATGCGCTGTGTTACTGGAGGCAAACTCGTGAAAGCTGCTAAGCTTTGGAAGGGCTTTAGCTGAAGTGGCAAGGCTCCTTACAGTACATCCTGAACCCTAAACCCCAAACCCTAAACCCTAGATACTCGCCACCACTGTCAGCGAAAGGTGTAACATATTGACTAGACTATATAAATGACACACGTGGGTCTTGTACACCCCAGCAGGCTGTAGAATGCTTGGCTTTTTAGCTTTAAGCAACAGCAGCAGCTGCAGCGGAAGAGCACGGTGAATTGCAGCCGCACGTTTTCTAGGCTACCTCCATTTCCGTAGCCTTTCGAAATGGAAAACGTGCATATATTGGGACTGTCTTCACTGACGAATTAAAATTGCGGAGTTTAACTCCTTTTGTTGCATGCAGTCTTGCACGCATGACCTTGAAATGCTCTCCTTTTCACAGTGAAGCAGAAGCAAGAAGGCGCTCTGTGGAGTGCATATATTGCAGCTCATTTAGGTGATGACAGTGGGAACATCAGTACCCACATATTCTTTAATCTTGCAAAAGGCAATGGCGTAGGCAATCAGGTCTGAAAGAATTTCTCGGGGTTTCTTCAAAAGCTGATCAGGGCGGTCTTCCACCAACTCGAAGTACATGCGAATGGTTGCACCGCTGCTACCGGTACCTGCGCAAGAAAGCAGCCATCAGACAAAGAAAACGAAATGAATATCAATATAATGCCACGCTGAAATCCTGATGAATACCGAATCTGATTGAACACCGGCATGCCGTTACTCGCAGAGTTATATGCAGCCACCAGTGGACAGCCATTATGGACATGAAACGCACAAAACGTGGATTCACGTCGCGCATTAGTAAGTGCAGGGACATTTATTTGGACCCATTTAGTGCTGTTTATATAGTGCCTGTTTACCTGATAGCCTCCAGATGGCCCTCCCCTTCGGGAAGAACAGCCTAATGCCTTGGTTATCCGCCACGGATCCATCGATAGGGTCTGTGTACTTGAACACGTCTATCTTCTCTGCCTGTAGTTTAGTCCTCAATTCTTGAGGCACAGCTGCACTTATGTGTTTTTGCAGCTCCTCCTGGCCCCCCACAGTCAGCGACTTCAGGAAAGCCATCATCTTGTTGGCAGACTCGCTGCACTTGTTCTCGAAGTCGTACCTGAGAGAACAAGTGCAGCGAATAATGCACGCCAGGTAGAGTGTTCATGCTATTTTACTTTATGGTATGCGTACAATATGCACGGTCCCGCGCTTTTCCGGCACAAGATGCTTCATATGGTATCAATGCCCTACGAGTTATGAACGTCTGAATACAGTTCTAAAGCTGCTTAACTGCTTCAATACTTCTTTTTCTAATATACTGAGCATGTAAACTAGATTTGCTGCGGCAAATTGTGCACGTTAACTGCTTTTCTCATCGCAGCAATCGCTGCTAGTGCTGCTGTAGTTGTTGCTTGCTAAATCAAGAAAGATTAATTCCTATTTACCTCATATAGTAATTTCTCCCGAATTCCTTCCAGAATTCCTCAACTATCTGCTGCACTCCTACAAAGTTTTCGATCTTTTCTGGGGGTAGCGTGGGCACGATTTGTCCTTGTTTCTGCATTTCAAGTTCCCTCTCTACGTTGTCCATCAACCCGTTGCGGTATGCAATTATAGACAACCAACACAACACAGCCCACAATCCATCCTTCTCCCGCACATGCACAGAGCCAGTACCAAAGGATTCCTCCCCGCAGATCGAGAGGCGCCCAGCGTCCATCAGATTCGTGAAATACTTCCACCCTGTGGGTGTCTCATATATGTCCTTTCCTGCGCCATAAAAATGCCATGAAGGTAGACGAAATTATTATATGGCGATGTGACAACTTATAAGGATTTGTTCGTGGTGCCCAGGAGAGCTGGTTCTGTTATTCTGGGTTTTAAACAGTGCCAAGACAGCTAGGAAAGAGGGCAGATAATGAGTTGTTGCATATGTTCGTCACTGTCAGCACTCAGCCTAGTTGCTGTGCACTTGATTTATTGCCTACTTTCGCATTTTGCGCTTTTTAACTGCCTTGCTGTAGCTCCCTCTTTGCTGTCTCTGGCTTGAAACTAAGTTAGGCTTTGACCCAGTTGACTCACCGAGCTTCTTTGCCACGCTGTCAAGAGCCATGGAGGTTGGCATGGACCGTGCCAGACCCTTAATGCCGCCGCTGCCGTCTTTGCCCTTCATGAAGAAGGGAATCACCTTTTCAGCGTACTGTGCAATGATAGCCACTGAGTCACTAGGAGTGACGAAGAAACCAGGGCCTGCAATGAGAGCCAGCAAGAAAGTAGATAGCCGACTGAGGAGCACGGTACGCAGTGCCAAGTTTCAGGTTTTTCCAGGTGCTGAAACCCATTTATATGTATGTTTCTAAGTGCATTTGGGGATACGTTAGTCTTTACAACAGTCTGTTGTCAACTAAGCTTCGCATCTGCATATTTCCCCTGCACACCACCACCCTACGGAAGTCATTTGAGTTCAGCTTTGCACTAGTTACATGGAAGTTTGATAGAAACAATACAAGGGGCTTCCACTGGTAAAACTTAAGGAATGTTTCAACGTTATGTAAACAGGACAAAGAGGGACTAAGAACACACCAAGGATCATATTTCGGTCGCAGTCGCCGTCTCCCGCTGCTCCAAGGAGAGGCGTTTTGCTGTCCACTTTGTCAGGGTTGAATATTCTCATCATGTCAACCAGCTCCTTCGCATATTCCAGGTTGGGATCGGGATGGTGACCCCCGAAGTCTGGCTGATTCACAAAAATACAAGAGTGTGGTAGCAGCTATGCAAGTCTTCTGAAACGAGTCGAGCCGGAGTGACAAGAAGACAAACTGTAGGAAACCATGAGATGAAGTGTGCTCAGGATATAACAAGCCTTTTTCTTCGGGATTTTCACTGTAGGGAAGATAGTTCGGAGTCTACAATATCCTAACAATTTAGGGTTCATGGCTTACCAGCGCCTTGCAGCATCTGAGGCACGTGGGCTTGGCG